GCTTCTCCTGATGCAGCCCAGGGTAGGGTTGGCTTCTGGGCTGCCAGCGCCCATGGCCAGCTCATGGCCAGCTTTTCATCTGTCAGTGCCCCCAGGTCCCTCTGGGCAGGGCTGCTCTCCATCCTTTCATCCCTCAGCCTGTATGGATACCAGGGGTTGCCTCCTACCCAGGTGCAGGACCCTGCACTTGGCCTTGTTGAAGCTCACGAGGTTCACAAAGGCCCACCTCTCCAGCTTGTCCATTGGAGGATGGACAACTGAGGATCTGCTGACTAAAACCCACCGGAGGAGGGCTGCAGGGATACATCCAGCTCCTAAAGCCCCACCTGACAAACATGCATGGAGTATTTTTAAATCCCTGGAACATGCAGATCCTACGTTTTATCTTGGCTGTTTCCTACAGGCAGCCTGTGCTCTATAGCTGTGAAATATCTAGCAGCAACTTCCAGTTTCAGCCAAAATCTTTTGTGCTTCTTGTACGTTAAGTACTTTTATTTGTGATCTCTCCATCACCTTATCTGCTGTGACTGCTCTAAAAAGAAACGTAGAGACGTGAGCTGAACCACGGCTTCTCTTTATGTAAAATAGAGGTGAGCATTTGAATGACTACCTGGTAAAGCTACCGTGGGCGCCTTCTGCTTTTCCTAGACTACCGCAGCGATGCCAACACAATGCCCGCTGTAGAATCCAAAACGGTGCTAGGCTACCATGACCATAATCTCTTTGGTATCGGAGATGGTCTTCAAATAAACGACCTGTGAAAAAGCACGGCGCTAAAGAAGCGCACATAAGGGTCGCCACTAAGCGACACGCACAGAAAGCTGCCAAAATATTTGCCTGCGCTGTGTAAGTAAAGGCAGGAGCAGCACAGGTACAAGCAAAATGGCAACAGATCATGGAGTTTTAACGTTGGTAACCAGTGTGGAAATGCTACTTGCCTGGTTATCGGGATTGTCAGAGATCACAAAACACAGAAGACGCGGTGCTTAGGGACAAGGTTTAGTGGTGGGATGGCAGGGTTAGGGGATTGGTTGGGCTTGCTGAGCTTAAAGGGCTTTCCAACCTAAATGATTCTATGATTCTATGAAAAAGGAGCAAGGGAAAATTTTAGGCAAAACCTCTTAATACAAATCAGAGAGACACAGAACAAAATTCAGGATGAGTGGAATTTTCCTCACTGCAACAACGCCGATTGTTCGGTGTTAGGACCAAAGCAATTCCTCCTGGGAGTATTTACTGACATGAGAAGGTGGGAAGGAAAGAGGGAAACACCTCTCTGGCAGACTCCTAACTGACAGCATCGAGATCAAAAGTTCTCCAGCTCATTAGCAGCACCCCAAGCATCCAACCAATCTGATTATTCATAGATTTGCTGTCTGCAGTGGAATTTTTATTGACATAGTACAAAGAAAACTCCAAAATATTTCTGGCTGTTTCACCATGAAATCATCCTCCCCCAGTTCAAACAGTAAATGTCAAAAGGAGGGGAGCGAGACTCACCGTTACCTTTGCTCATCATTCAGCACCTGCACAGTAAATCAAGCAAAGCAATCACCAGCCACAACTCAGGCCGCTGGTTTTGAAGCTCTCTGTGACAAGGTGCCAAACCCAAGCTCCTTGGTCCCTCCTTATACAGCAGCTGAAGCCAGCAGGACTGCCCCATTAGTTAGTCTCAAGATTAATGAACTATTTATGCTTGGAATTAATGGAAACATAGTTATCTCTGCAATGGAGGCAGAGGCCAACGTGCCCACACAAAGATTAGTGCCAAAGGGAAATTGTAGATGGGGATTTGCGGGCTGATTGGTACAGAAACGTGGACCCAGAGCAGTGAAGTGTGGTTGGTTTCAATTCTGCATGAGAGACCTGAGCTTATCCACCATGGACAGGTGAAAACTTGGGCCAAATCACAGAATAGAATCGCAGAAAGGTTTGGGGTGGGGTGGGAAGGGACCTTTTAAGGTCACCCAGTCCAACCCCCTGCCATGAGCAGGGACATCTGCAACCAGATCCAGTTGCTCCCAGCCCCGTCCAACCTGACCTGGGATATTTCCAGGGATGGGGCATCCACCACTGCTCTGGGCAGCCTGGGCCAGTGCCTCACCACCCTCAGAGTAACAAATTTCTTCCTTAGATCTCATCTGAATCTCCCCTCTTTTAGTTTAAAACCATTCCCCCTTGTGCTAAACACGAGAGGCAAAGCGAGGAGGCAAAGCTGCTTTGGGGATGTGACTGTGAGGCAGCCCCTAAAATTCAAACTCCAGTGATGTTTTGAGAGTTGAATCCACCCAGTTGGACACCAAAAATTCTATCCCCAGCACCCCAGGGTGCAATCGTCAGCTGGGCCACCTCCGCCCCACGGAGAACAGGGGAGACAAGAGCCCCAAATTACCTGCTGCCTTCCCAGCTGAGTGCAAAGCAACCAGAGAGTGCAGGATGCGAGGCAGCTGGTGACACGGCTGCACTGGTAATGGGGGCCTAGGAGAGATGATGGAAGAGGTGGGATGAAGGCAGGAGGATGGTTGGGATAACAGGGAACACAGGGAGAGCTGTGGACAGCCATGCCCAAAGGCCCACGTGCTGGGGACATGGGCAAAGGAGGGTGATCTGAGAGGGGGCTGGGGTGGAGGGGGGCTGCGGGAACAGGGAAAGGGTCATCTGTGTTTTAGCAGACCTCGGTGGGGCAGATGGTGGGGAGACAAGGACTGAGGAGGGAAAGAACGTCCTGAGGAGGTGAGGGTGGTGGGGTGGCGAGGGGGA